AAGCTCAGACGTGCCAGACGCTCAGAGATTTGCAAAAGTACTGATGAGGCTGCTGGCCTGCTTCAGCCCAGGGAACAGATCCTCCTGACGACGGATGCCACGGGGAACCCATCCTCTGTTCTGCATAATCGATATGCAGTCCATCACCCAATCGCGCGACGTCCACTCCTTGGATTTGACTCTGGGCGCATGTCGTAGGATACGCTGGACGATGCAGTAGGTCAGCCATGTGACAGATGAGTATGAGCCTGAAGGTAAGCGGCGTGTACGCTCTCTAGGTCGTTGACCTCACTTCGGTTGATAGTGCCGATACGCACTCCTCCGAGACACCTGGAAGACTCCGCCAAGGGCTCCCTGTCTGACGTTGCGACTATGCACGCGCCCCCGCCATAGTGGTTCTTCAAACGTGGCTTAGCCTGGTACGTGCCGCCCACCAGCTCGTCTTCGTCGACTATGATCACGAGTGCCCAGTCGAGGTTCTCTTCGTCTCCTGCGCCGAACTCACTAGTCTTGAATTGAGCGACGACGACGGAGTACTCCTCTCGGCCGAGTACTTTGCGGAATGCCTTGGACATGATGCGTGTATAGGCTTACAACGTGGCGGTGTGGCGACGAGCCTGATTTCGGGTGGCGAGGAGCAGATGGGAGTATTGCACTTGCGTGCTTGCTTCTGATGCGCGACCCGTGAGCTGCTTATATCGGTGACCGTCTTTATTGTCGCTTGTTCATGGAGACTCATCTGAGCGTAGTCTAAAGAAGCACTGCGTATCTCCATGTGGGCTAAGCCCAAGGCGGTTCGCAAAATTGCAAAGTAGTCGCTGCAGTCGACGAGCCTCCCTTGTTGTTCGCGCCACGCACTTCACACACAAAGCAAAATGTACACGGTCCGTATAGTACAGCAGTACAGTACCTCCACGGCGTCGTAGCGCCCCTCCCTGCCTCGTTGATGCCCAGAGACGGCCAGTGCAGCTGAGCTCTCACGACCACCTGTCTTCAGCCGCGCTCGCCCCCTCGTGCTCAACATCATCAGACGCCCTGGCAGGGTACGATCAATGAACCCTTACGAAGGCACGGCCCCTTCAACGTCCGAGCCCGTCGCAAAGCTCATGCCCATGCTGATGCGGCTCGTATCATCGGAAAAGCATATGGCACGCTGAGGCGATAGACAAGTATCGTGAGCATGCATCATTGTGTCTATGAGCGGCCACGACATACCTGCGGGATGCGGTACACCATGGAATCTATTCCTCCAGCTTTGCTGATCTCGGGGAGATTGAAGGAGGTGAAGTCGTCCATGAACCGATTGTCGATGGACTTCCGGGAGTTCAGTCTGACAGGAAGGTTAGCGTCTTCTTGCACTGGTTATCCGCGAGAATCTCAGGTAAGACGCACACGGCAAGTACGGAGTTGGCGTAGACTGCGGCCCGAGCCCGAGGTAGTCAGTGCTGCCCTGGGGATCCGTATAATGATGTGGGTGACCTACGCTTCGCTCCGACGATGCTGATACCGGCGTAAACAAGGTCTCCCGGGAGAATGATCGCCTGCAGTACACGCCGTTCGGGATTAGTGCTGCACGTAAGGTCGAGCGGCAAGGAGTTTTCTGACAAATATGAAGACAAGGGCGCTGAATATGCTAGCAGGCGTTCGTGTGAGCACGGTGCTCTCAGGCCTGAGTTAAGCAAATCTTGCCAGCTCACCTGGTGAGGAGACCTAGAGTGCAAGATCAGCGCACCGATACAGAGTAGAGCATGGCAGACTGATGCTACATACCGGTATTGATGGTATACTTGATGAGGATCTCAAGCGTAGAGTCCGTTCTAGCGACTGTGAGGACAACACCTCTACATCCCAGTGCCGCGGAGATCCACCTCACCTCTTCGACCCAGTGCGACTACGCCGGAGCACGTAGACTAGAGCGCCGGTCAAAAGTACATCACTTGAGACAGCGAATCCATAGGCAATCGACACAAGCCACTAGGACAGTACGCCGGTAAGTGATGTATATTGTGCAGGATCGATAGTTCATAACTTACGCTAATTCGCTTGAAGTCCGTGAAGTACCGAAGCGTTGTGAAGCTTGTGCAGAACGGTTCGGTTTGGGTATCGGGCTTTGTCGAAGAGATCGACGTACCTTTCGATTCCTGCGGCTTGCGAGGGAAATTTTGTATGATTTAGGGCTGACGCGCTCACGCCGGGGACGCTCCCGCAACGCTTACCGATGTCAAACGCTGCTCGCGTTCGACACCTTGAGAATCTGTGAAATGCACCTTCGAGAGGAAAAACGCACAAAGCCCTGTCACCATGGACACAACCTTCGGTATATACTCATCAGTCATGACGTAGGCAAATATGAAGGGATTGAGCGTACCGCGGGGATGACAAGCCATCTGTAGCGAGGTCCAACTGCACGGAGTCAGTTCTGTCACCGGGGCAGAAGTAAGGGTTATGAGGGCAGGTACCAAAGTATACTCGGTGGGCATAGAAGCTGCTCCAAGTGGCATAACGGCCGAGATCAGTATGGACCCTTCCTGAAGCACTCACGCGTTCTGCCCGTTCACATACC